GTGCACGGTGTATATGCCGCAGTCTGACAATAATAATGGTCGGCCGGTAATACCAACATAATTACGGAACGATGACATTACGTTAGCTACCCGGAACGATGGACATCGTATACACGTTGAACGTTGCTTGCCAGTAACTATGACCTACTAATAAAATATTTAACAGTTTACATGTCAATTGCCGATGACACGCGGTACAGTCGGGGCAGCTGTCGCATCGCTGAGATTTTATGGATGATAAACTAACTTGCAAGTGGAAATGAAAATGTCTCGTCGAATTTTCCGTAGCGACGCGTTCGCAACTCGTGGCCACTTCGCGTGAACTTTTATGGTTCAGTGGAAAATTTGCATCGTACCGAGAATGACGATGCTATCGTGGATGAGTTAGGAAAGGATTTACGTCTTTTAAGAAATTTAAGAGCGAAGTTATCGATGATCATTAATAAAGGAAAGGACAATTAAGAGGTACGAAAGATCGGTACCAATAGATTGTTAGAAGAGTTTTTAAAGTTTAGGAATCGTAAATTGAACGTTAAGGCGAGAGTAAAAGAAGAAAAACAGGGTAGATTTTTTAAAGGATTTTGTTTTAAATTAGGGAATTAAAATGTTTGGAAATGATGATATTGAAAGATCGTTGAAATAAGAACGAATTTTTAGAGTTGGAAGATTATAAGCTTAATTAAAATAATAAAAAGTTGGGAGAAAGGTCAGAAAGAAAGAAAAGTAGATTTTTAAGGGATTTCACGTTAAGGTCACCTAACGCTACTTACCGTTTCCTTAACGCAAAATCATTCTGCTCCTCCCAAGGTATTCGAGCTTTTTTTCTAGCCGTCTCCAATTTCCATTAGACTCACGAAGTTCGACTTTCCCTCCCCAACGAATTAAATTTACGAGAATTCGAGGGTAATACGGCCGGAACCATATCTCGAGGAACAGTGTAATTTCACAGGATACGGGCCGTGTGTACGAGATCTTTCTTTCTTTCATGAGGGCATTAGCGGAAAATTGCTCGGCTCGAAGCAGGGCAGCATAAGTACAACTTCTCCATAAACTAAGAAAGCACCGTCTCGGATTTTCTAGTCGATCTATTTATCGCCGTGGCCCAGATCTGCTCTTTAATTCTTAAGCACGACCGTTCGACGCGTTTGTGCGTCTATGAACGCATTACGCAGTCCAAGTTGCACTAACCGAGCGCTATTTTTTTTTTTTTTTACTCTCGCGCTTTAATACGAGCTTTCAGCGTTATTCTTCTCTTGCTTTTCCCTCTTCTTTTTTTTTCTTTTTTACCATTTTTTTCCCTCTCGAGGACAATGAAATATTTTTGTCCGTAGCACAACAGCGCGTAAATATTTGTGGTTTTCTGCGGACTCGCGAGATATTGGCGCGAAAATATATTTCGAAAATTATTTTAATGTCGTTGGGACTCGAGTGCGACGACACCTCTTTTCACTGGGAAATTGCCGTGGAAATATGCATTTTTTCAAATTGACGTAATAAAGAGACTGTCCATTGCGATTGTTTGGACGTTTTAGAAAGATAGTTCACGCGTTGTTGTATGGTCGTTTCGAGGGGATTTTTCACGGGTCTCTCTCGTCTCGTGACCACAAAATGGAATTTTTTCATTCAACACCGCGTGAGTTGGCGTCAATTTTTGCTCGCAACGGTTTTCGAAAATTATACTCGGGTTAAAAAGTACAGAAGGAAGCGCTTCTATATCACATGTAAGGGCTATCCGAATGAAAGCAAACTCGTATCACTAACAGTGTTTCAGCTTTTCGTGCCACCGCGAGCGTATAATTTATTTTACCCTATATACATACAAGTCCCTTTAATTTTCTGATCTTTATGAAATTTTAGTATAAAACGTATTCGAAATTTTAATTACGCGCCGAATTTATAAAAGTTTCCAGTAATTATATTTAACATTACTGCTCGCTCGTTCGTTTTTCTATTTAATTTTCAATTTCGTTTGACAATGAGTGCGTTTTAATAAACGTTTCTATAAAATTACAATAATTTATTTTTATAATAGATTGTAGAAAATATAAAAATAATAAACAAATAACAAGAGAACGAAGTAAATTGAAATGCGTTAAACGAGAAAATAGTGCAACAATATTGTAACAGTGATATAGGTCCATCTACGATCAGACGTATCACTAGTAGAGTAAGTGATACAAATATCGTTCGAAAGCGTCTTATTTTTCGCGCGTTCGTCGAATATTTTAATCGACCATTTCTACGACACATTCTTCCGCGTTTCATACGTTTCAAGTGTCGCAGCGATGGTAAACCAGAACACGAAGCACACATCGACATCCGACTCGTTACAAACTTCAAAATCAACGCATCGAGCGCTCGATTTTCCTGGAATCAAAGTCCCGCAGCAAACCGAAATGAAAGCGAAAAAAGGACCAAAAAGAGCACAGGCAGAGCCAAGATAAAAGAATAAACAGAGAGGGATGATAATTGCGTGGGTGTACCAACAGAAATCAATCGCGCGACGACGAGGGAAATCAATGACCCCGCGGGAATAAATAACGCATCAACAACGTTGCTTCATAGACGTTTTCACCAACATGAACGCTGATTGTCGACGCTGCAACGCCAGGTGAAGGTCGTTAATTTTTTACGGACTCGAAAACACAAGCGCGAACGAGGTCGAATCGAATCGTCAGGGCGCTTCTTTTTTTTCATTTAAATATTTTCTCCACCCTCGTCGATTTTTCCCCGCGATCGAACATTCGCTCCCATTACAATTATCTTTTTCTCTCTTCTTTGCGCGTTTTCTTTTCTTCGTTTTTTTAAATAAAATCCCGAACCGAACTGAATCGGAGCCCGTGGTTTCAAAATTAACGCAAAGTCGTCAGTTTCTGAGCATTGGTATGCGTGGTATATTTTTGGTCATCCAGCTCTCGTTGTTTCCGAGCGTCATGGAGAAGCGTTATTTTTTGATGGACCTGTTTGATTACCGGGCTTACGGAATTTCCGCACACGAATATTTCCACAATCGGAAAAACCAGAGGGAATAATGGCGAGGAAAGAACAGAGGCAGTGGATGAATAGAAGCGGAAGATAAAAGAGAAACGACAAAGGATAAAAGTGGAATAAAGAAACAAGGAAAGAAAGGGAGAAAATTAAGACGATAAAGAAAGAAAGCATTTGATTCGTTTGAACTTAATTCATTTTTGCACGTCAAATTGACAATGGTGAAAAATCCAAGCATTGAAATGTCCTACTTACGTAGAAAATGGAAAGTGGGCAGGGATGGTGTAAAAATAATTTTAATCGAATTTATCTTATTCTTTCATTTTTCATTTTTTCGTACTATAATATATTAGATTCTTATCAATATCAGTTCCATGGCACTGATATTATAAATCCTCGATAAAAACTTATCTTCCATTATAAAATTCCTTTCGACAGCGTTCAAGATAGAAAATGCCATAATTATAGAGAGCTGGAGGGTAGAAACAAGGCCGAGGGGCAAGAATTTTTTTCACGTCTTTCCAACATTGTCAGCTTGCTCTCTTTATCATTCTCCGGGTAACATCGCGAATCCTCCAGTTAATGGGAATTCGTGATTTTGAACTCGATGCGGCTCCATCGTCCTTCTCAATAGGGGTGGAAAAGAAGAGACGAAAGTTCACCTCTCACGGCCACCAACCGGAGGTGCAATTAACGTCGACGCGCACCAAACGAGATTTATTAGCCCTTCTGGTATAATTGCTTCCAAGAATGTCAATGTTTTCTCCATCCATTTTCTCTCCTTCTTTTTTCTTTCTCTTCCATTCTCTTTCTGTCTGTCTCTCTCTCTGTCTCTCTCTCTCCCCCTCTCTCTGCGCAATTATATCTAGCGAAAGCAATTATCGAGTTTCGTTAACGGCCACACGCAAACGTCTCGCGAATTTATACCGTTCTCTGAAGCGATTGATTGGAAATAAAAATGTTTGTACCTCAACGTTGTATCCATAGTTTCATGTATCCACGATAAATATACATGGGCGTTTAGAAACATGTGCAGAGTGTGGAAAAAGCGGTGGAAATAGCATTGAATATGCACATACGTATGCGAGTACAATGGCTCGCAAAAGTATTCGAACACTCGCCGTAGAAAATTTTTATGAATTGCATGTGTCATTTTAATTTCAACTTCGATACGGCATTGTAATTATATCGGTCGAAGCGAAGCAAAAGTCACGGTACATAGCGCGGAGAAAAGCTTAGTAGTCTAATGGTAAAATAGAGCGTCAAAGTTTAAAAACGTATTCAATAATTAACGAATCTTTAAATTACTATTAATTACTGAATTAACAAATCTTTTCTACGATAATTCTTGCCTTTTTTTTCGTCAAAATACTGTCTCGCTAAAAGAAAATTTCGGTTGTTCGAAAGGAGAGACAGAAGTCGATCGTTCGATGAGAGAAACTGCGATGCTCGTGGATTGCCGGGAATCCAGCAGATCTTCTCGTCAAGCAGAGATAATCGAAACGCAGGGGGTAATTAGGTAATTAGTTTTCGGAACAGGAACATCCGAGCCACGTTTATGTACATAAAATAGAGGATTTACATCTAACTGTATGTTCCCGGGCAGAGATATTACCGCCAGAGATCTCGCTATCTGGTCTGCGCACACCGAATTCAAGTAACGAGGTACTTTTGTGGTTATTAGAGTCTGTCGAAATTCATATAGCTAATCGAAAATCCCATCTATCGGCGAATGTGATTTCAGGATCGTATCTATGAATTATTGGAAACTTATATATACAGTGGCGAATAAAAGACAGTTTAAAATTATCGCTACTTTTCTCTACGAGTTTTACTAACTTTTCTACTAGACATTTTTTACTATTTTCATAAGATATCTACAAAAATCTATTTTCAAATACTTTTTTCGATTACAGTCGTTTCGTGTGTGAAGTTGATAAAATCATCCAAGCTTTCATTCCTTTGATATATATTTTTTTGGCAATACATAGTATCTCGTGTATCTGTCGCAGGATTTGAACAGCAGGCACTTAGATCCCGTAGAAGTGTTCCGGGGTATACCGTACGCGGCACCTCCCGTAGGAGATTTACGATTTCGACCACCGATATCGCCGATCCCCTGGGACGGCATCAAACTGGCGGATTCCTTCGGCGCGGTTTGCCCCCAGCACTTTCCGGACATCAGCAATGACACAGCTGCTTTGTTGCAAATGCCTCTAGGCAGATACCAGCAGCTGAAACGTTTGTACATGTTCCTGACCAACCAGAGCGAGGACTGCCTGTTTTTGAACCTGTACATACCCGGCAGTGGTAAGTAGAAGAAAACTCTGTGTTACGTTTCTCCTTTTCTTTCTTCTTGTCTTTACTTGTGTAACAAGCCTGCTTTAATCATTTTTATATTTTATTGCTTTCTAGATGTTGAGAATAAAATGTCAACATCTAGAATATACAGCGGAGACAGTGCTTTTGCAACTAATCGTGAAACGCATTGTTTGAATAACCGAATAACTTTACTTTTATATGGAAAAAGGACAATTCACGTTTTTATCACTGTTGAAAATAAATCACAGGAAAGCGGTTTATTATATTGGAACACAAAAATTGTCTCTTTTTCATAAGTAACAATTGTCTCTTTTTCTGGAACTCCTCTTTTCATTTTTCCTCTCCTTTCTCTCTGTTTCTCTTTTTTTTTTTTTTTTTTTTTTTTGGTTCATTGCGTAATTAACAAACTTATATTCAACATTCGCGGAAAAACGCCAGGCAAACGTCACGAGTTGCTGACATAACGTTAATGAGGGAGAATAAAAGGAAAGACGAGGGAATATGTGTCGCGCATTAAGTATCTAATTAAACGCGCGAATCTCGCCTTTATATTCGCAAGATTCAAGGTGTAATGCTCGCAATTAATTAGCACGCGTTAATAACACACGGCCAGGAAATTTCAAGCCTGCCACCTATCGTCTGTTTATGGAATAATACGATATTACGAAACAAGTTACTTCCTCGAGTAATTAGTTCCCAAGTAATTACGACCTTTATGCCTGGTATTGTCGCGAAAGTAAAAGCCGCCTCGTATATCATTCGATGAACGTCGTAGTCGAATTTACGAGGGCAAATTCACGTCGGTCGAATTTACGTCAACGTTGAGAATTCATTGCAATCTATTAGTTTTTTAATAAATTTCTATTGACAAATACTTGGATATATGGCGAAAAATTATTTCCATATGGTCAGCAAATATTTTTTAATTAATTATTGCGTACGGTTTTTATACAAGCTTCTCCTAATCTCCAAAGAGTTGGCACTTGCTTATGTTTAGACGCATTTCTGAACGAATGACTACTCCTCTTGTTCTGCATCTATAAATTACTCGATGGGAAGAAAAAAAGAGAAATAACGTGTGAACACGGAGGACGAAATTGCACGATGAAAAGTTGAGATTGGAATTAAAAGTTTGACTTTCGTGGTCTTCCCCGGGAATTTGATGGCAGGGAAATACGCATTTGTTATGTAATAACGTGTTTCAACATGGGATAAAGTAGATTGCAAATGAAGTAATGACAAACAAGAGAAAGGTATAAAGAAGAGAAAATAAGAATTAGTAACAAGATACAATGGAAATATTCGAAATTACACGAACACTCTTTTTTTACATGAAATGCAATTTCTATGCAAACACGCGTATAACGTATGACCCTCGTTGGAATTACACGCCGTAAATAGATATAGAGTAACGGTATATCTTAGTCGTGGCCAATTCTGGTCTTGATCAACCACACATTACCACGCCAGGTCTTCTCTCCATTTGGAAAAAAATCCGGTTCACGATAACGAGCGAAATACTCGTTTTATTTTCCCTCTGTTTCACCACACAAACCGTGTATCATCCCAATCAACGATTTAGCCGAATTTTTTCCACCGGTGTCTCTCCCTTGTACACGATGAAACACAAGCTGGGGCGGAAAGGGGGATGGTTGTTACGTAATCGAGGAAATCGCGAGGGAGCTTCACCGTTGTTGTTTCGCCGTTTTCGATCAGGCGAGCCGCTGCCAATTAAATCGGTCGAGCGGATTGTAACGCGATAGAGAAATTGAATTTTCGACGAAACCAATAAAACCGTCGTCGCCCGCTAATCGCTTCGCGTCCGTTTCCGCTATAGCAACCGGTTAAAGAGCGATTTGGCCGTGATTGGAGCGCGATTAACGATACCTGGCCAACGTGATATTACGGTGACAAGTAAACGGATAACAGGCGGAATTAATCGCGCAGAAAATCGATTTCGATCGACCATTGAATCTCTTCTAGTGTTCTAAAAATTCCTGAAAGAAAGAAATGGGAATACAGTTGATTTATATTTTTCGCGCGAAACAGAGTGGAATTTTCGTATTGGAATTTCGGATTTTATTTTTTGTTGTTTTTATGGCGTGATAATGATTTTTGAGTTTGAAAGTATATACGATGCTTTAGCTTAGTTTGCCTGGAAGTTTTATTTTACATACTCGTCAGAGTTTATTTTATGATGTACTTGATGGTAGTTTTTATGATACGGTTTGCGGTTATGGGAGGAATTTATTATGTGCATAAACTTCGTACAGGTTCCTGTAAGCGTGAACAAATCGATATACCTATGTACACGGGGATAATGTAATATTTGAATTTGTCATAAATTTCTCTTTATTTATTATGAAAAAACAAATTTTGATTATTGGGTATCGAAAATTATCGTAGTACTCTAAATCAAATGGACGAAATAATTCTTGGCATAAAGTAAAAATGTTTGGTTGTTTCGAGGAAGAAAACTATTCTTTCCTGTGGTACTTTGATTTCTTTGCAAAAAGAGAATGAGCTGAAACTCGAATAAAAGCGTATAATCTAGAATAGGCAAATACGAATAATATTTCTTAATACTGAAAATGTGTTAAAGGATACATGCAAAATGTAACGTAATAAAATTATATTTTCCAAGTTAATAAACACAAGCTCTACGCGTGGAGAAATGCAGAAGTTATTGCAACGTAACTCACCATTACTAGGGGTAACAAGCCGTGCACTTGGAGCAAACTGACACCACGCTGTTCCGGACGTAAAACCACCCCTTGCGTCTAATGAATTTAAATCCAGCCAATTCAACCTGCTCGTCGTTCTTCCCCGGTCTGAGAGTTTCCCTTATGAAATCGCCCAACGATCTCTTATCATTTAATTACGCGTTGTTTCACGGTAGAAGGACACTTTTGGAGGTGGCGTTAATGATGAACGACGTGTTTTCGAAATATATGGGCTACGTGAATGCAGGCTGGATTATTACCATGGTAATAAATCATTGTAAGATCGATTGATCTCGATAACGAGGTAATGGCTTGAGTTGTCAAGGTAAATCGAATGTTACGTTACGTATTAAAGATCTGACTCGCGCATCTCTTCGACGAATCAGCTTGTAATTCGTTAATTAAATTGATATCGTTAAATGGAAATATTATATCGCTTCGTTAAAAATATTTCTTCAAAATATATTAATATAGGCAGGGAGATATCGAGATTTTATGAAATACTATTAGAACAGATTACAATATTAATATAATTCCACATATAATCGCGATATTAATAATAGTAGATTTCAGAACTGAAATTATGAAATTCCGTAGGTTCACGAGGACTAGAAGCACCATACGCTGTGATGGTGTACGTTCACGGTGAAAGTTTCGAATGGGGAACGGGAAACATCTACGATGGGTCCGTTTTGGCAAGCGCTGGACACGTCATAGTAATCACCCTTAATTATCGTCTTGGAATCTTAGGTACGTATCATTTTTATACATACAACGAGAATTATAATTTTTAACCAACGAATAAATCGCTTCTTTCCACAGTGATATTATTATAACGATGATAAATAGCCAAGACAATATTTTTCAGATTCAGATACGTGTACACGTAATATCAAAATTACGCAACGACAACATATAGACGCATTCAAGTTGCAGGCTTTGCCATTATTTTCCTTAATCGATCGCACATAAAATCCGAAGAAAAAAGCACGTGTATTCACGTAACGCCATTTTTATTCGCGAAAACTGAAAACGTAAAACGAAAGTAAAAAACTGTAAGTTCTCATGAATAATGCAGGGTAAATAAGAAAACACAAATAAAGCAGGAACACCGAATAAATAATTCATCCAACTCGGATGAATTCTTATTCCCCAAAAGCTTGCTCATTATTCATTTGCCGCGTTAAACTCTGTCCAAACGAAACGTACACACGTGCACGGCTCTATGGCAGAAACACAAACGACACGGTCGCATTATTTAACGTTATAATTGCGCGCGTCCAACGGTCGTATAAATCCATCCGATAGCGGATTAATATTTTACGGTTCCTTTAGTATATTCAATTACGGTATCCGTAAATGTAGAAACAAACTGTTCCCTATGGTATCCGTTTTCCTGTAATCGAACGGCACTCAGATATCCGGCATAACTTTGTCGTGGAATTAAGCACGATGGAAAAAAGATAGATCTCATTTGCGATATAAATGGTATTTTAATTGTATATCATTTTATAACATGAAACCGAATAACGATAAATTGAGATAACGATAGAAACAGTAAATAAGAAAAGATTTATTTTTAATATATGAAATTGACCAGATTGTTATTATAATATCGAATATAGATTCTTTATCGTCTAACGTTTCAAATTAGTCGATAAGTTCCTAATGATTCTTCGGATACACATAAATTTCGTAAATGTATTGATATCTATGAATAAATAGTAAGAGAATCGAAGAATATTCGAAGATAGAAATGAGAGTAAATTTTTACTCAAATGGAAAAGAAAATTAGTATAATATTGTACATATTTCTTTGATAAACAAATAAGGTGGAGTCAAATATGGTTGGAAATGCTCCAGGTTTCTTGAGGACTCGTCCGTATCCAGACAGAACGCCAGGATCTGGTGGAAATCTGGCCTTGAAGGATATCGCTATGGGACTACGCTGGGTACGTGAAAATATCGCTGCTTTTGGAGGCGATCCGACAAAAATCACGTTGATTGGACACGATACTGGAGCTGCGCTGGTGAACCTTCTTCTACTTGCTCCTTATGGCAAGGGTGAGCGAATTGAATTTTATTCTGTGCAATACTGTGCAGCAAGATAAAATGACGCACGAACGCGTTATTTCTAAAGAAACGCCTCGTCTTTCTTTCTCCTCTGTCCTACACGTTATAAAACACGCGAACGCGACGTCAAAAATTAAACTTCCTGCCTCGCATTAGAGAGAAACTGCAACAGTTGAGAGTTAGACTTAATCTTTGATATATTCCTGAACATCTTTCATATAATATTTCTTCATAATTCTTGATAAAATAGGACCTTTGTCTCGCTCGTTTAACCCTCCTACGATCCTCCAACTTTTCTATTTCAATCTTGCTCTCATTCTGGCAAACAAACAAGATTTGCAATGTTTCAGGGAAATGTCTAACATGTACAATTGAAACAAGAAATCACGCGTATCGGTAAGAGTTTTTAAGAACTTGAGATACTTATTAACACGAGAAAACTTTACAATTGGACTGAAAATGAAAGAACGCAGAAAGATTTAAAAAAGTACACAATTTTCCCTAATTCGTTTTTTCAGAGGAAGACTTTCTCTCCGATAAAATATTCATTTTTCTTCTGCTTTGTGTTACACATTACAGAATACACCAACACATCGATATAATCTGGAATTCCGATGAGCATTAAACGCTTGTTTTCCAAAAATTAAACACATTCGGCCGTGTCGAAGACAAATTGCGAGAGTCGGTGGGCCGACCACGATGACGAAGGACCGTACAATAACAAGCGGCATGGATGAAAATCGATTCGAAATAGAGCAGAAATATCGCGTGTCGGTCGCGATTAGGCGAGATCCTGGCTACCCGACACTCGATAGATTAATCGGCAAGAGATTAGTCTGGCAAACCCTACCGGATCGACGATCGAGATAGTACGACATCTCACGTGGGGTGGGAGCAGGGGACAAAGGGAAGAGGGATGAAAAAATCGTGCGTATTGATCTCGCGTGGATAGTGACAAATTACGTGGCTTCGTTTTATTCCTCGAGAACCGAAAATGTATTTTTTATCGGACTCTCTCTGTAGTACAGATTGGACGTTCCACTTTTTGGCTTTAACTACTGGAATTTGGTTTTTCATAGTTGGCGGGATTTACCCTATGGGGTCGTGATATTCCTGGTATTTTTTCATTCACTTTGCTTTGTGCGATTAGTGTACAGTTAAGAAGAGAAAATGGGTTTCAATGAAGAGAGATATTTCGTTTGACATTTTTGGAAAATGATAAAACTGGTTCTGTCAGTCGATGAAATAGTTTGTTAATTGTTGGTTAAGTTATAGTAAAGAGTTAGACTACGTTCCTGAAGCTAATTCAATTTGTCTGCAGACTGATTTAATTTGGATTTCGATTATCGATGAAAGGTTTATCAAACTTTCACAATTTCTATGTTAAATATTATTTAGATAGAACAGTTGGTACTTATTATAATTAATTCACTGAGAATTGTCCGACGTTAAAAGATTTGAACAAAATGAGAACAGATAACCACAGAAACGTCGATGTGCTTCTAAGACAAATATACATGTACAGCTGAAGTGCAGCGTAAATATTCGTAAAGTATAATATTGCCATAGAAACTCGAGCAACGCGTAGGAACATTAATTATACTTTGAAACTGCGCTGACCCACGAAATAAAGCACGCTTATTTATCAATGAATAATTAAGAGCACAGCACATGTGCTCCTGTTATTATTTTATTTTCTGTCTGGCAAGAACATTGACACTTCCTCTCGAAGTTCTCGTTGATATTAAGACGCACTAGAGATCGATTATTCCCCTTGTTCTATGTCGATGGAAAATAATCCATCATCCTATCCGTTTCTCTTTAATGATAGTTTGCGAAAATATTCTCTAACATAATGAAATATTAGAATGTGAATAACAGAAAACAGAATTTCAGTAACAATAATAAACCCAAAGAAAAGAAATACCAAAAAGAAAAGAATTTCAGAAATAAAATATAATAGCCAAAGGAATTCTGACGAAGAAGAAATACCGAAAACGCTGAAGCAGAAATACCGATAAAATAAAAGACCTCCGAGCAATAGTCACAGCACTAAGAAAAATACCAACGATAAAAGGATCGTGCGAAACTAATAAAAGATACCATTTTCGCAATTAATAACACGACGAGTTACGTTTAAAGACTTCTTAGGGAAAGAAGGATATTCAAAGCTCGAAGATTTCCTAAGAGACCGAGATATATGCGAGAGAAATCCGTGAAGAGCAGCATTAGCGTATTCAATAGCAGGTAAACCATCAGGCACTCGATACCGCATTAGTTTCAACTACAAGATCCACCCGAAAGGAACGACGAAATTTAAAACCGAAATGCACTCGGTGAATACCGTGGAGCTGTAGCACCGTAACAGGACTAAACCGTACGTACCACTACCGTGGCACTCGAGGATGCATTTTGTTACAAGTCGATATCCGAATCGGTTTTCGAGATACGAGGCACGAAAATCGGAGCACGTCGAGTGCACGGAGAGCGTTGAATGGTGGGCGAAATTTCGTGACCCACTTCTTTCCTTTGGAAATGCGTACGCGTCGCCCTTATAATAGTAGGGAAAAAAGCGCTGACTCGGCCGCTGTCACCGACCACTGCATACGTGCCAGGCTTGGGACAGGTCAGTAAGCGCGAGGGAGGACAGCCGTAAAGGAACAGCAAAAATGATGTTTCCTTCGACAATATCTTCGGGACAAGAAATCGTATCAACATGAAACGGAAAGCATTTTAAAAGGTACGGTTTGAGGTCTGCAGAAGGGGTTGCGAGAATAAAATATCTTTGCATCTTTGTTCGAAGGAGAATGCAGCAATGGTTTTAATGGCTTCGATGGCTTCAAAAAATATCGTTAGGATTAGAGCGAAGAAATTTTTCTCCACAAAAGGAGATTTTCATAGCTCGGTGTATTTTTCTAGGTTATTCGAAATATATCTATTTTCCTCTCAAATTCCAAGTCGAAAAGTGTTCAAGCGAAACTCTCGGTAATTATAAATAAATATTAAAAGTATTCGCATTCGTTGAGGGTTCGACGCACCATAATTATGTACATCGCGGCTGGTTATGTAAATTACTATTTCTAAGGGGTACTGCTTAATATTATAACGAGTACTATACGAGTACCTTTGCGTATTACGTGCACTTTTACACCATTAAATTTTCCATATAAGCATAATGATCCAAAGTAATAACTCTAACAACCACGTATGCTCGATACGACGATAACACTTCTCGGCAAGAACGAAATACAGAAGAATGGTAAATTCTCTTCGTTTTTGTTCGATATAAAGAAAGCCCTTGAAATCACGTATACAAAATACACGAAAAACGTCCGTAAGAAACGAATGTTTCGTAGCCTCGGCAACAGGCCGTAATTTCCTGCAACTTCCTCGAAATTCGCCAGTTGGAAATGGCGTGAACGGGAGCGAGGCAGAAGCATAAAAGTCGAGGCGCGCATCAGCTTGATTCCTCGATTTCCAGCATCACCATCGGCCGAGTGGATTTTTACCCGCGTTTCCACGACGCGTCGGAAGAGCCTCGTTGCCTCGTTTTATTCACAGGAAGTCGCTCGTTGCTGGCGTATCGAGGTCGAAAAAGCGAGCAAAGAAAGAAAGAGAAATAGGAACGGTGGTTGAAGAGTTGCCGTGTTGCAACCTTGGGCAACGAAGGAAAAGCTGTTTTCCTCCTTTTCCTGCCAGCTTCTGGAACGGAGACAGCGTGTTCCCGGAGCTGTAAAGGCCAGGCCGAAGATGTAAACTGTTTGGTAACATTTCCGGTGCAACCGGAACCCGGCTGGAAATGGCCGAGAAGCGGCATGGATCCTGTTCAGACAGCCGCAAGCATTCGAAGCAACTCTCTCTCGCGTCTGTCCTGTCTGTTTGTTTTATCCCGTTCCGACCGCCGTGGCGTCTGGTTCTCTGAACACGAGAACGCTTCATACAGTGCTAGGACTTGAAGCATCTCTCGCTTTGTTGCTCGGTATATAATGGCCGTTTGTATTGACGAAGGAATGCGCTTTTCAGCGGTTTCAAAGTATACGTGCAATTTGCATAACACGATCCTTTCGCAGCTTTTCTAACGCTAATACTATCAACACAATGGTGGTTAGAACGGTTAGGCGATATCAAATACAAGGATAATTTTTAAATAATCGCATTTGCACAATCGCGTAAACGCTTCATTCTCTATATTCCTTCGATTATCGTTGATCTCGCAAAATACAGCATCGTAAACACTCCTGCAAGAAAATTTCTATTAGGATTACATTCAAACGGAATTACTGGTTTAGAAACTTGAACCGCTGTACATGATATAACATGCTAAAATACCAATATCGGTTCTTTGAACAAAAATCAACCAGCAAAAACTCTTTTAAGATAAAAATACGTGTTAGTAAAATTCTCTTAGACTTACAACTTTTTTTAAATAGATACAATATTCTTCAAAGGTCTTACAAAAGTAACCAACCAATCCAAGTGGATTTCAGTCTCTTCTGGTCTCACTTTTCCACCATGCAAAGTCGTTTAAATCGTACGTCCACCTAATATTTCGCTGGTTTGTCACGAATTTCTTTAGTTGATCGCGTACTGTGTAGTCAGATCGATTCGAAAGCAGAAGAACTGATGCAACTGGCGCGTATTGAGTCAGCCAATTGCCAGGAATCACGGTCCACTGCTCCCGTCATTACTCGCGAAACCAATCGTTCGTGCACGCGAAGTATAGGCGAGAAACAGCACTGGAATAGCGACGGACTAATCGATAAAAAAGAAAAACGAACGAAGGACTCGTGAGTAACTCTTAGCAGAGGCGATAGCCTTCCTTTAAAAACCAATCGATTTGGTAAAAAGAGAATCTCATATACTGCTTATCAAAGCTTTAAAACTGGCTAACAATAAGAACTTTTTACTCTCGTACACTACCGTCTATAAGTATTTGAACGTTTCAGTGAATCTGTATATGTAATATTACGCGAATTTTAGCAAAGTGTCGG